TTTTTGGCCAAGCCAGGGGGAAGCCTGGGAGCAAACTCCAGGCCCTGAATTTTCACCATAACCAGGATTTGTGTTAGAGGCTATTGCAGTAGGATCCAGCAGATTCAGCTGAGATTTAAGTCAGGGTGGGAATGATCTCCTCCCACAGCTCTACAGAGAGGACTTTTCTTGTTTTGCCACCTGCACTGAGTACCCCAAAAAACTTACAGGGCACAAAGACATGAAGGGAAATGCAGACAAAGAGTTGAAAAAGTAACTTGTCCAAGCTAGAGGATGGTGTCAAGAGGCATTTTGTATTTTGCTTCCCTGCTCTGCCAGTAGGTAGGGCACAAAGAGCACACACTGTTCCCTCTGAACATGGGCAGTCTAATGAACATGGAGCATTTCAGCCACTTGTTATGGACTCTCCAGCAGCAGAAAGAAAATTATGAGCTTTAAGCTAACCTACAGACCACTGGCTGAATTCTGCCTGATTGATGAGTCTTTCTCTGTCCTAGTCCACTACAATTTATGCACAAGATCTATCTAAAATGCTGCATATAGGTAAAATACATAGATTTTCTCCTACACAGTAGATGACTTCTGGGAAATTAACAGTAAGTCAAGTGTCTGACCTAAAGGGTAGTTAAGAAGGAACAAAAAAAAAAGAATTATTGCAGTGAGACCAGTTCTCACAGTTCCCACAAAAGAGAGCTATTCCTAATATCATCTGCTTTAGCATCACATGCTAAAGGAAATGTTTAGAAGTATTTCTACATCCATGTAAACAAGTTAGGAAAGTAGAGGGTGTGGTGGTGGTGACAACCATTTTCCAAATCAAGTCAAGATCTAAATAGCCTTGCTTATCTTTTGAATGAGTCATTTTAGGTCATGCAGGTAATGGTGAAATCCCACCTTTCCCACAGCGAAGTTTTAAAACTACCCCTCTTTCCTCAAGGCCAGGCAAGTAGGTTACACCTCACCACCTCCAGTTTCTTTGCACTGGGAGTGCATTACTTTCCAGAAAAGCTGTGGCTAAAAGGTCTAAATCAAAATGAATGAGATGGGTCCTGACACGAGGAGTCCAGCATAATAAACTATCTACCAAAGATAAAAAATATTTAGTATCAGAAGGCAGAAAACCAGCGGAACTCCAGTTATTTTCTGAATCTTCTTCTATTTGGGTGGAATTCTGTTGAAATGAGATACTCAATACAGATACAGTCGTAGTTTGGGGTTCAATTCAGCTCTGTGAAGAAGACCATTATAAACCAGTGTTTAATGGCCACTTAAGACACCTTTTGACAGCTCAAGCAGTGCATGTCTCATGTCGTGTGCCAGTTCTTTGCAAAAGAGGTGATTGTCCCTCTGGATGCCCCTTCCTGCCTAAATACTTCGGAATAAAAATATATATAAAATATATAAAGATTTTTGGTGTGGCAGACAGGCTGGATTTTCTGCATATTCTAAAAATGTTGAAAAAACAGATTTCCCTTTGACTCATAGAAGAGAGGAGGATATAGACTGGCTTCCACATGCGTGGCTGTGATGGGAGATGCTGTTGTTACTTCTCAGCTTTCCAGATTTAGAATTTTCTTCTTGAAAACTGCAAAAGTCATGAAACAATTTGTAAGAAAGGCTTTTACATAATGCAGTTGATAAAACAACAGTAGCAGAAGCTTATAATTGCTCTGGCTGTCTATAGTAGAAACATGAATGTGCACACTGTATAAATGGTGTGTCAGGACTGCTCAGCACTTTTACAAAGTTTTTGGAAGGCACTGAGTAAAATGGAATGACAACAATATATAAATGTCTGCACAGCAGTTGAATCCATCAAAATCCCACATCTTTAGTTCATCTTCAAGAATTTCTCAAAGTGCACCAGTGCCACACAGAGACAGATGCAGGAAAACACAATATAGCACTCTTCTATACACCAAACCCATAGCCAAAGCACACACTGAAAACCATCTGGGGCCTGAAACATCAGTGTAGTGTTCATTGCTGTTTTCACTTCTGGCCATGTAGGATTTGCTGATGGGGGAGTTGTCCAGTTTACTGGTTTGGTTCCCCACCATAGAACTCAATGGATTACTCAGCATTGATTTCAGTAGCAGGAAGGTTAGGTGTTAGGGTAGAATTAATACAGATTATTTCCATTCTAAAACACAGGTGGGTGATTTAGGTACATTAATCCCATTGATAGGCCAGATCAGCAAGTTTCCTTGAGGTATCATTTCCCACTGAGAGCAGCAGCAGCTAAAGAGAATCATAAAATCACAGAATGGTTTGAGCTAAAAGGGACCCTAAAACTCCTTCTCATTCCAATGCCCTGACATGGGCAGGGACACTTTCTACTAGACCAGGTTGCTCAGAGCCCCATCCAACCTGGCTTTGAACACTTCCAGGGAAAAAATCAAAAGCTTCCCATACCAGGAGTTCAACCTGGACCACCTGGATGAAAACCAGGTATCTGAAATCCTAGACCATATGGGAGACTATCCTAAAGCCTGAGAAATACTAAATATGGGGATCAAATTGTGAGCACTTTTGAAACTCCCACTTCTGGCCCCAGAATAGTAACCCTCTGTTTTCATTCAGTTAGTATTTAAGTCCCTGATCCATGTGTGGGACTGGGTTGTGCTGTATCTTAGGCTGCCTTTGGTAGCTGTGCTGGACCTTGGGTTTGTGTTCCCAGACCCAGCTGCCCCAAAACAGTCGCTATCCCATTGTGTTGGGGCAGAGCTCTAGGAAGTCAGTCTCTGAGCTCACCCCAGCCTAAAAGCCACACTACCCAGTAGTGCAGATACCAAAGGTCTTGGGTTCAAACTTTAGCTTCTGTCCCTAAGCTAAGGGCAACACATGGACATACGAGTGATAAATAACAACACTTACATAAAGGTACATGAAAACAGAAAATAAACTCTCTTTTCAGAACTGTTTGTGCTTTCTTAGTAATCACCACTCCTTATTTACCAAGAAAAAAGGTCACAGAATAATGCCTTTTTTTGAAAGCTTTGGTCCCTGGAGTAGCCTTGTGAGATAAATCCTTTTTTCCATGAAAGTGCTGGGGGAGGAGGGAGTGGCCAGGCAGCTGTGCCAACTGACTGATGCCATGTTGACAACCATATAATGCAAAACATTGACCCTAAAACAGTCAGCAATGTTGAGCTGTGATCACTTCAGTCCTTCTGCACAAACAAGGCTCCTTAAGGGATCCTGCAATCTCACAGGCACGTTTCCTTGCTGCATGTTAAATATCAGCTCAACTCGCAACTCCTCCTGTTTCACACCGGGTCAAAGTCACCTCTGAGCAAACAAGAGCCCCAAGCTCTTCCAGTTTCACTGAGTCCTATTGCAGAGCAGGAACGGGATTTAAAAGTGAGACAGCAATCTGACAAAATCTTTGCAAAAATGAAGAAATATTTCTGCAAGATAAACTAAACCAGTCTCACCTACAGGCCATTGTCTCATACTGCATTTTGAAGACCAGCTTCTCAGCTGGGTGGGCAGCACAGCTCCCCTGAGGCAACTTAGCCAAGAATTTACTCATAAGGCTTCAGCCATAAGAAATGTATTGCCATGATATTTAGAGGAACAGCTGGGCTGACTGAGAGCAATTGTAATTTACAAAGAGCACAAATAAGGCAAAATATTTATATGTATTATATAAATATTAGTAATAAAAGGTCATAACACATGTAAGCCTACTACAAAACATAAAAGAAGTGAAATGTTTGCCTAGCAGTTTCACTGGGGAGGTGAGAGCAGATGAGGTTGAGCAGATATTGATCACCATTAGTTATATTAATGTATAAAGGTGCTACAGGTCAAGTTCTGGCATCAAATTTACATTCTGGAGGGAAGTTTGATAGATACCATCTTGCCTTCTGCCAAAACTCTCCAAAAGTTTTCTGGACTGTGCAGGGATGATGGTCAGCCTGTATGTCCAAAGCAGTCAGCCAGAAATCCCCATGCACTGCTTGCAAACCAATTGACTGGAACTGGAAAGGACAGCTGACATAAGTGAACCCTTTGTCAAAGAGCTCGGCCCCTTGGCAGGGAAGCTAGAAAACACTACATTATTCCAGCCTTGCACAGAGGTTACCACCAAGTACACTGGGCTAGTGCTGCCAGTCAGTAGGTTTGATGACGTCCCACACCTCAGAGCTGCCTTCTGTTTTATTCCAGTGTTCAGCAGGAAAATCTCACGGGAATTAGAAGAATAAAGCTGTAATGAAAACAGATTTACAGCTCCCAGGAGAAAACTAGCTTTAGCCAGTTACATTTTGAGGGCCTGATGCTTTGTCTGTGTGTGGCAGCCTCACACTGTTATAGGTGGTGTCATACAGCAGGAGCCCAAGCAAGATGTGAAGCGTGTCCCTGTCAGTGAATTCCTCCTGCCAGGGAGCTCAGCCCAGTGAGAGTTTTCTGTCCCCTTCCATCCTGTCCACCCAGTGCATCCCAGATTGCCACAGGGCAGAGCCTGCTGCCCCCTCCTCTTTGCCAGGGTGACTGGGCCTCCTTGGGGTGTGCCAGGGTCACCCCTACCAACCAGCTGTACAGCATTTATGGGTTCTTTATATGTTCTCATTCCTACACTCCATAAGGAAAACTGCTTTTTAGATAGTGGAAACGTACAAAAATACAAAAAAATTTACAAAAATACAAAAAATACACAAAAATACACATGCCCACAGTGTTCAGTCTCTATCCTTAGGGAACACCCGAAAGGAAAGGCCCTGACCATCACCCTCACAGAACTTGTTCCCGTTCCCGCGCCAGGCTGATGAGACGCACATTTAAAGCCACCACCGAGCGACTGAGACCCCACAAGGACGGGGAGCGCACGGAGCACCCCTGCGGGGCAGCGATGCTGCAAACCCGCATCCATCCCCCGGCCCCGCGGGCTCTCCGGGGCGGGCGCGGGGCGGGGCGCTCCGGCCGTGGGCTGTGCCCGCCCGGCCGCCGGGGATGGAGGAGCCGCCGGGGATGGAGGAGCCGCCGGGGATGGAGGAGCCGCGGGGGATGGAGGCGGAGGGGCCGCGGCCCTTCTCGGAGGAGCAGTTCCGTGCCGCCTGCCGGGAGCTGGACCAGCCGGCGCCGGGCGCGGAGGGGCCGTGGCAGCTCCTGGTGGAGACCATGGGCGTGAGGATCTACCGCCTGTACCACGAGGTGCGCGGGCGGGCTCCCGGGCGGGCTCCCGGGCGGGGCGGGGGCGGTGGATGCCCGCGATGGGGGCCCCGGCGAGTCCCCGGTTCCCCGCACAGGCGGGGCTGGCGCTGCCGGCCCGGGCTCGGTTTACACCGGGCTCCCAGAAAGCAGCTTTATGGGTAATGCCATTAACTGCTGATGGGAAAAGCTGCTCCGCCGCGGTGACCCCTCCGCCCGCGCAGACTGCCGGGGAACCCGAGGCTTTGCAGGGGTGTGAACAGCTGGTGGCTGGAGGAATTCCCGGGGAAGGTGCTCTCGGCGGTGGGAGCAGCCGTGGGCCTGTCGGGGTGTTTGCTGTGCTCTGCCGAGCCCTCTCTGAGGGCTGTGTGTGGTGAGGGGAGCTCTGTCCCCGCTCGCCTGCTCCGAGCATCTCCCGTGCCAGAGCATCCTCCTGGTTTCCAGCATTCCGCCTCCCTTCCTGCCTCTCTCCAAAATTCCCTTCACGCTGATTTCCCACCATTCTCCCTCTAAAATCGGGAAGTAGTTCAGAAAGGGTTGAAATGAAATTCCACCCCTTTTTGGGGGACTAACTTCTTTAAAGAAGTTCAATAGTTTAGTTTTCTGGGACTGACTTGCAAGTGGTTGACAGTGAATGTTTGTATTCTGATGCAGATGTATGATTTATCAATGACTATTAAATCCATATATAAATGGATTAAATAAATTCATAATAATATATTACACATTATTATATATACTATATATTGTAATATATAGTATGTGTTGTATATTTTACTAGATATTATTTCTATAATATATATCATATAACATATATAAGTATATAATATATAATAGTATATAATGTATTTATATGTTATATATATAATATTATATTTATACAATACAGATTATATATATAGAATATATATAGAATATATATTTATAATATATATTTATACTATATATATTTTAAATCCATATATAAATACCATATTTCTTTAGCTCAGTGAGGATAGTTTCCTCTCAGCTCCTTACAAACCTGGATTTCATGCTGCTCTTTGCGTGACAACTTTGTATTGTATTCTGAAAAATCATTTCAGACATGGTCATGTGTAGCAAAAACAGCAAACATGCAGGTCTGTGCAAAAGGCAAAATGGGGCAGGGAAAGGCTCTTTAAAAACACATCATAGACCTTGGAATTTTTTTGGTGATAAATAGTCCCTGTTTACAGTGTGGATGTGGTAACTGGCAGTAGCAAGACAAGCTTATCAATGAGTGCACACAGCACAGGCAAGGCTGGGGTGCCTGCCAGGTATCCATGCAGGAATTAAATGTGCTGGTGGAATTCAGGGTGCTGGGAGTGTTGCTTCTGGAGTGGATGAAGTAGAGGCTTCAGGACTGGAGCTCATCACGGAGCTTTAAAGGCATCATGTGGTGGATGAAGGCAAAGTAACTTTGGGAAGCTGGAGGCTGGATTTAGCCCCACAAAAGGGACCAGGCTTGTGCTGGGGTACCTTGTGTTTCTGCAGTGGCTTTGCTGCTGCTGTGTAAATGGCAGCTGGCAAGATGGAAATTAGCTCAAGCTTCTTGTGCTTTTATATAGAAAGACTTGAGCTAAAAAGACTATTTGAAGCTAAAAAACATTTAGAGGTGTCTGCCTTTTTTTTTTTTTTGCCTTTTTTTTTTAGTTGTTTTTTGAAAAGGGATGTATGTGTATAGAAACATGCTCCCTCTGGAAGTACTGATGAAGTAAAAGGGTGCTAGTGTAAGGGAAGGAACAGCCATTGTGCAGGGCAGGTCAGGCTGGCTGGGTTTAAACTTTCATGTATAGATCAAAAAGTCGAGAGGTTAAAGACTGAATCTTGCATTGTTTTTTGAAGATTTGCTTTCACAGCTCTTGAGCGTATTTGTAGTTTGTGCCCCACCTAACTTCCTTCAGCTGTTCTCCCTGATGCAGAGTGCTTCCCTTTCCTGTGTGACTTTTCCTCTCCCCATTCTGTTTCCACAGCAATCAGGACTTTATGAGTATAAAATCTTCGGTGGTCTTGCTGATTGTCCCCCAAAACTGTGTGCAGATGTCTACATGGACTTAGATTTCCGAAAACAGTGGGATCAGTATGTTAAAGGTAAGCTCATCTAGGCAGTGTAAGAGCAAGCTTTAGTCCACATGGATTCTTCCCACCAAAGCTTTCCTCAGAGGTATTTTGAAGTTGCTGCATCCAAAGACTTTGGGCCAGACTTAAATATCTCTTTGGGATAAGGTTGCCCTCTGCAAATACACAAGTAAACACTGATATGGAACAGCTAATGTCTCAACAGCATATGTCTTTCCTCTGGAATGAATTCTTTCCATGTTGGTTAAAGCATATAATTGGCATCACTGGTTATGCTGGAGCACCTTGTAGCTTCTAGTTGTTGCAATTCCTGGGTTAAATTTTAGCAGATGTTCCAGAAAGAAATGGAGATGGTACCTTTTGAGCATTGGAGCAGAGCAGTGAGCACAGAATACCAGGGGCTGGAGAAGGGACCTCTGGGATCATCTGGTCCCACCTTCCCTGATAAAAGACAAGATGGCCCAGCACCCTCCTCAGCTGAGTCTTAACAATGTCCAGTTTTGGGGAATCCACCACTTCCCTGGGGTGATTATTTCAATGCCTGATTGTTCTCATTGTGAAAAATTTTCCTCTGGTTTGCATCAGTTTGATGTGTGATGGAATGACTTTCCTGAAAGCATTGGTTGTTCTTGGCACCTTTTACCATCAGGAGTGGATGTATCGAGAGAATAGGTGGTGGCTTTGGCTTTTACAGAGAAAGGAATAACTAATTTAGTTGTGTTTATTTAATGTTGTCTTTGGAAAAGGGCATTGAACCTGGATATCCATATGATGTTAAAACATCTTAAGTCAGCAGTTACAAGGTAAGGATTCAGCTGATGCAAGCATCCAGTAATCCATTTATTTTGAAGATGGGGAGCCTTTCCTTTTTAAGCCTGTGCTTGGAATCACTTCAAGCCAATAAAACTAAAACATGGTCAAAGTGTTTTGCTGAACAAAGAGCGTGCTAAAAACCAAAGGATTGTTAAATATTTTGCTTGTTAGGTTTAGGACAGTTCCATGGTGAACCTTTACTGGTAATGCCTGTGGCTGTATTGATACAGAGAACCACATTTGACTCGTGCCAGTACTTGGTCAAGTTTAAAGTGTGGTGTCTTCATCAATAAGTTTTATTTGTCAAAATGGTCAGTAGCTTTCTTGTAGCAAATGCCTCTTTGCCATTAATGAAGCAGAAAGAGCCAGACTGGGACTGAACATTATTGTATTGGATGTAAAGTATTATGTTGAGTTACTTTAGTAGTCCTTAAGTGCATTTAGGAGAATTGAATCTTTCTTAACCAAACACTTTTCTTTTTTAATGCCTTCTTAGAGATAAGAAAGGAAGCTGTTGGGGGAAGCTACACCCTTAAACTAAAAACTAGATAATGTTGCAGAGCTGACATTTATATCCTTGCTGACCATGGTTTGTTCATCTGTGAATTTGTACTTGTGCTGGTGCCTTTAAGTCCAGCCTTTCAAGAGTTAACATCTGTGAAGGGCATAAACATAACAGCAAAGCTTTCTTTCCAGCTTCAAAATTGCCACAAGCCCAACTATTCTTTAGCTGTACATATGATGAAACAGCGCCAGCCAACATTTTCAATGTAGCCCATTTAAGCATGTTTTTTCTCCTTTCACATTTAGGGAGAAACCCCAGAAAACTTCCACTGAGAGCCTTCGTGCTCTTTGTGTTACTGTTTGTATTCCTTGGTACTCTTACAGCTGTGCAATAGTGGCAGTCCAAAGGAGAGCTCTCTGCTGAGCTGCTGGCTGGCATTGAAATAAAAACCTGACCAGAGTAGAAGTAGCTGCCTCTTTATTGAAAAGGCAACTGCTCCTGCGTGGTCCAGAATATCTACGAGATGTGGCCATCCTGAGGTCTGGCTTGTGCTGCAGCTGCCAATTCAGCAGGGAAGCCATGGCTGAACTGCAGAGTTGTGAATGAGGAACCAAATGCTTTTATGGCATGATACAAAATGGGGGGGTCTGAGCAATACTGAAACTTGCTACTCCTGATTGCAACACTGTCCTGATTGAGATCATACGTCTCAATAACTGAACAGTAATAACTGGCTGTTGAAGCAGCAAGTGCTGCTGTGCCTGTTATAATAGGATGGATTTGTGATCTTTTGTAGCGATGCTACAAATCTGGTTATTGACTAAAATGCACTGTATTCTGCTTTTATCAGAAGCTGTGCACTAGTACTGACAGACTAAAGTGAATGCAGGTGGAACTTGGCTTACCTACTGTATGCTTTTCCTGTAATTGTGAAGATGCAAAGGCAGATGAGTTAGGTAATAATAGTTGTATCAGGGTCTTTAAAAGTGTTTTAATGCCTTTGAAAAAGGAAAGTTCTGTGGTTAGAAATGAAAGCAAAGTGAATAATCCAATGCTCCAGTGACCTCTGGTGGAAAGCATAATGCTGTGGGTTGTGACAACACCGGGTGCTTCCAGTACTGCTCCAGCCTGGAGAAGAGGAGAAGGTGTTTTTGTGGGTGACAGCTGATTTCAGGACACACTAACAGAAGCCTGGTTTGGAAGATGTTATATAGGGAGAGAATCTCCCATCTGTGGCACTATTCTTGCCTTGGCAATGAGATTATCAGTCTGTTCTGGCCTCGTTTCCAAAGAAGGCTGTGGCTGACTGTGGGCATTAGCTCTGGAGGGTATAGAGCCCCTCAGGAGGATATAGAGCCCCTCAGTTGCCTGTATATACTGCTGTGAAATTCCTGATAGCTTTTGGAAACTTCATTAATCCCTCATTAAGACCTCTTCAGGTGTTAGAAAGCTGCACTGATCCTAGTTCCATGTTAACTCAGAATAATTTACAAGGATAATGACATGCAAATTGTGCAGAACATGCAAGGAAAAAGCTTTGAGATGGCAAAGCTTTGAATGAGCAAACTGTCTGAAAAGGAATTTCACTCTACCTCTTCCAGAATTGTTCTACTTTTGTCCTTTTGTTGTTTTGTTGTTTTTTTTTTCCCACCAGGGAATCCAGTAGCCATAGGAAAACACACCTCCTATTTATGCATATTTGGTTCCTGAACAACCCTGCTACAGAACTTTTTAATGTCTTCTACTGCTACTTTACATACATATCAATTTTGACTTCAGGGTTGTGTGTAAAATATGCTCATGTCAGAAATCTGAGCAGTTCTTGATGTCATCTATAGTCCTGTTGCAGTAGAAATTAAAAGTATCTCACAGTCTTCTTCTTTCAACTGTAGAACTGTGTGAGAAAACATATGATGGTGAAAAAGTAATCTACTGGGAAGTGAAGTACCCTTTCCCTCTCTCAAACAGAGATGTATCCTTTCAAGCTTTTGTTCCTCTGGCATCAAGCTTTTGTCTCCTGGTCATCCAGGAATCCCAAGAATGAGCTGACTCCACTGCTCTGCTGCACTTGATTTAAGATCCTGCAGTCCTCACGTTACATGAATATGTACAGCATGAAGGAAAGCGTGGGTGCCTCTTCCCACACACAACTCACATAGCTGAGTTATTACTCTGCAGGATTGAATCCTGTAGAAGCATGGGAAGTAACTTGAGGGAACTGCTGTTTGTAAGGGAATTCACTTGTCAATTTTTCACACATCAAACTGACAGTGTTTTGACGTTCCTCCTCAACTCTGAGCACAGTATGTCTATGTTCGGGAACGTCGGGAGATGGATGTGGATGGGAGGAAGATCTGGGTTGTGTTGGCTCAAAGTGTGTCTGTTCCTCAGTGCCCTGAAAAGCCCGGTATTATCAGAGTTAAAAGCTATAAACAAAGTGTGGCAATTGAAAGTGATGGCAAGGCTGGATCTAAAGGTAAGAGGCCAAGAAAATGTGTCACAAGTCATGTAGGCAGAAAATGTGTGGATTAGCAAAATGCATAAACAGAGAGGGACTGGAAATTTTAAGCTAAAAACAGTTACTATAAAGTGAATGCACTGAGCCTTGGGACCACTTTAAAATGAATGAAACTTTTGAGAATGTCCAGTGCAGTGTGCTACTGTGAAGAATCTTTCATTTAACAGTTGGGCTGGGTAGTTAAGAATAGTTTACTGACCATTCTGCCCCCCATCCCACCCCACCCTCAGCGTGCACTTCTTTTCCTGCCAGCCAGTACAGTAGGAGAAAGTCTGCTGCAATCTGCTTAACTCAGCAATGATTTGAGTATCATGTTTGACAGATGTAGAGATGAAAGGATTTGTGTAGAGTTTGTCTCCTGTCTGAGATTAGTCCTTTAAAGACAATGGTATTTTATAAGCAGGGTGCCTCAAATGGTTTGCAGTAATCTAAATTAATGTTATGGCTCTGTCAGCTTCACTGGCAATGCCTATAGTTACTTCACATTCCACTTCAGGACAGGTTGACTTTTTTGTGAAGAATTAAGAGCAGAGCCGTTGTACTTGGTGCCTCAGTCCTGCACACTGGCAGCTTCTGTTGTGGGGTGTTAGAGCTGGTACTCAGAGAACTTTCTGGTAACTCCTCTCTCCTCTCTAGTCTATATGTACTACTTTGATAATCCTGGTGGCATGATTCCATCGTGGCTGGTCAACTGGGCTGCCAAGGTAAGGGAAAGTTAACACACAATGATATTTGCTAATCCATTTCAAACAAGGGATTCACTGCATCCATACCCATCTTCTACATGCGGGGTAGAGTTATTTTTTCTGAAATGGATGTATCCACCTTTCTGACTCTTGCACAGTACTGTTTTTAGAGTCTCACTATTGTCTACTCTCATGACAGTAGTACTAATTTATTCTTTTTTAAATTCCTGTCAAATTCCTCTGGTTCATCAACCAGGCAGGTGAATTTCTGCAGCCAGCCCCAAAAATCCATGTTCCAGAACATACATGAATAGCCTAAAGACAAGCAAACTTCAATAATGCAGTCTGTTCCCAAGGTATTAAAGGAATGGTTTGCTGCTTTGTACCAGATCTTAGAATTGTGTCTTAGACAACTGTTATCTTAGAACTGTATCTGTTTGGAGGCCTTGATCTATACAATGGAAATTCTCATCTTGCTTATAGTTGTTGAGTGCATTATGCAAGAATGACTTTTCCACTTTTCTCTTTGCAGAGTGGTGTGCCTGCTTTCTTGAAGGATATACAAAAAGCTTGCCTTAATTATTCTAAGAGAACATAGCTCAAAATTGATCTTAATTCTTTAATTCCAAGAGCTCTGCACTTACGGGAATGGCTGTTATATATTACACTGGATGAAATCTACCTCTAATATTGGAAAGAATTTTATTTTAGTTGGGTTATGCCTTGAGCTTTATTAGATTCTTTTCCCATCTCCAACTGAAGAGCTGGGCACTGTCAAGGTAACACCAACATCAGCTGCAGCTTTTGAAAGTACTCAAGGATAAGTTTTGCTTATCCTGATGGTCATGTCAACTGGAGCTCTGTGATGAATATGTTATGTCCTTGCACAAGAGACAAAGATTTAGCTAGGAAAAATGTCTGAACTTGGACTGCAAGTTGCATGTTTGTTGCCTTGCAGGGTGGCTTCCTGCTGAAACTCAGTGATGGAACTTGGATTGCGTAGGAGAAACACTTTTGCTACCCAAGTTTGTCATTCTTAAACTCCCTGCCTGCTGTAAACCTAAAAAATGCTGAGGGCATGTAGGTAAATCACGAGAAGTCTGCAGTAGGAACTGGAAGTCTGTGTCACTAAGCTTCCTTGTGATGGTTTTAAGTCCAGATGTAAAAAGGATTGGAGCCTAAAGCCTTGCATTCCCAGCTCTGTACCTCTATATGAAACCTAAAACCCACCAAGAAGAAAAAGGAGGAGTTGGCTTCTTCCATGTCTGATTTAAGGGGAACAAGTTTTATCTTCAGAGTCAGTAGCCTTTTCTGTAAAGCAGCTTGGATACCAGCTTGAAATTGGAAGTAATTTTGAACTGGATGCCTGCCACTGAATGTGAATGAACTTGATGTGAAGCTTCGGCTTGCTTGCATTTTTAAATTTCCTGCTGATCTAAAGACTGAAACTGTAATTTTGGATGGTAATCCACTGAAAGCTCAACTGAGCAGAAAATCAAATTTCCAGCACCTTTGTGGGGGGTGGGGCAGGGAGTGCATAAAAGATGAGAAGACCTCAATCTCAGGGATTTAAAATATTCTGCATTGTTCCTAAATCTAATCCTGTTTCTGAATAAATCTTGTAATGGGGTAGCTTTGTCTTGTTAAAAAACAAGTGATTGATATGATTGCCTTTTTACTTTGTGTGAATATTTGCTTCCAATAAATCCTTATTTTATCCATGTTCTTGTTCTGTCTCTCTTGTTTAAGAGTGGCCCTGCTGAGCAGGTCACAAGTGACAGGCTGATATCATGGACTGCTTCTTTTTTTTAAAGAGTTTTGAAAGAATAAGTTGGATTAAAACCAAGCAGGATTTGATGTGTTCTGAAGAGCTTTCTGCCAGCAGTTTAGGCATTTTTCAAGTGTCTTTGGCTTGGAGACCATTACTGGATTGAGCATTACGGTGTCACACAACATGATTCAACAAAACTTTAAAAGGGGACTGACTAGCTGAGGATGAATCTTCCTGGAACAATGATGCAAACTAATTAATTTCCAGTTCTTTCTGAACAAAAATGACCTCTGTGCCACAGCAGTACAAAACCTGTGGGCTTTCATCGTGAGAAAAGTATGCAGTGACACCAGTTTAAGTCTGGATTACTGCTCCTATCTTGTATTATTAGGGAAGTTCCAGCTTTGTGTGATGTGGTTTCTTGTCTAAATGGGAGATTGTGACAATCTTTGGATGTAAAGACATTCTTAAAGCATTTGAGACCTTTTTTAATGACCGATTAAATATTGGTCTTGTATAAATTGTACATGCATCATGTGAACCTTTCTGGATAGCTTGAACAGGAATTTTCCTGCTGTGAAAGTTTAAAGTCATCACACATTTCAAGTTCTGGTGCACAGGGTTAAGAAACATGAACCCCCCTTCCCATGCTGTTTGTTATGTAGCACCTGGAACTCAGCTTTGTTTCCACCAACTTGCCTAAAAATGGAGTGCAAAGTTTGTCCTTTCAGAGGGATCTGTTGTAAACCAAGTGTTGTTGGGTTGTTTGAATAAAAAGAATGAGGTATTTCTGTTGGATGATGATTGAGCCTCTCATCTTCTATATCTTACCCCAATTCACAGATTGGTAGGGATCACACTACAAGTTAATGGGGACTAATGAAGTTTTCTCAGTAGCCCAAAAGAACTAGAAAAATGCTGTAGTTTCTGGCAATAAATAGGCATCTGCTCCAAAGTACAATATCAGAGTTTCCCTAAATCGTCATGACATATTCTCATATAGAACTTCTGGTTTAAAATTACCAGCCTGTACAGAAACATGTTTTTGCATGTTGTTCTTCTCAAAAAGAAGTGGTGTTTTTTTGGGTCCCCCATCCCCTATTTCCATAGGGAATGATGTTGTAACAAAGTGAATGTAAAACATTCTTCCACGTTGTGTTCTAGTCATTCCAATCCATTCTTTCCATACGATCTTTCTGTAAAACTAATGTATTTGAGTTGGAAGGTAAGTAAAGGAAAGATTCTCAGTAACCCAAAGTCAACACAGTGAATGATGTCAGGTTCCCAGTCACTGGTGCTGCCCCTCAGAAGATGGTGTGTAAGGGGAAACACGAGTCTTCTTTGCTCAGGAAACATCTGGTTGATGCTTCATTTCTCAAGCAGGTCATTGGCTGTTTTTATAATTTAATGGAACAAAAAATGTGGGAAGACAGGAACATAGACTTCTGATATTAGTGCATAGTAGTAGATGATGCATCTTCCCACCAACACGTTTGTTTCCCAATATGTTAGTTTTCTATGTATAAAGAACATTTTCAAAAGGGATCTAATGATACTTAAATTTCACTTAGCTGAGAGTAATTCCTCCCTGAACACAGATTTGCCTTCCTCTAAATAGGAGGATAGTTCATAACCAAATTTACTGTCTCACTGTAGTCCTCTGATCAGAGGAAACCACTAGACTTTCACACAAAAAACTTTGTTTTCACTCATCTCAGTTAAAAGACACTGAAAACTTCCATACAAAAAGAGAAAGGAAGGCTTACAGCAGGAGGAGAGTTGCTATAAATCCAGATGGACTGTAAGGAAGATAACTGCTTTTTGAGGAACAATAAAAAATAACAAATCTTTATAGCAAGATTAGTTTTGCTGATTTTTTTTCCTACCACTCTGTCTTATAACTGCAGACTTAGGAGGAATCCTGATCAGTAAGATAAATAAAGTTGGTGTTTAAGCATCCTACTAATTATTCTCTGCACCTGCCAATGTGCATATTAATTAGGATTATATATATCCACATATACAGAGAATGTCATCTTTCTCTGTAGTTCAGTATTCCCTGTATGTTGAGAACTTGACCATAAACAATTATTCTCATCTGGAATCTGAATTATGAATGTATCCTGGAATCCTGCTGTGAGACAGGAACATTTTACATGGGAACAACTCTCCACTGGAAACCTTCATTTCCAGAGTAAGAACTGCATCCTGTGAGTGTTTCAGTGGAATCTGTCATAATAACCAATTATGTTGAAAGGCCTTGAATATACGTAATAATTTTAGCCTTGTGAAAAATTTCCTGCCTCCCTGCTGTGCAACATGTTAAACTGAAAGCTGTTCCTGCAGTGTAAACACAAGTACCTGTAATACTAAGATTTAAGTGAGTTTGCCTTTATCTGTCCTCACTAGATTTCATGCATATTTTTCTATTTTTCTGAGGCCTATTTCACCACTGGAGGCACAAGAGGTTCTCTGGTGGACCTCGTGACACTGGAAGAGTCAGTTTTTGCCCCAAGCTTAATTGTTTTATTTTTCTTAATCTATGGAAGAAACGCCTGAGAATTAATCATTTTAATAGATTGTGTTGTTCCTAGAATGACAAGTTTGGGGGGGTTTGCAGTTGTGCAATATGTAAGGCCAAGGGTTACTTATGTGCTGCACATACTTTGAATAGATGCCTGCTGGGAAGTCACAAGGCTCATTGCATTTCTGCCTGAGCATATCTGGAAAGGTCTTAAGTCTTTCCCTGTTTCACTTTGAGCTGTGGGGGGTTTGGCTTTTAATATTCCTAGTGCATATACATCTTCCAAAGCAGGATAGAAATTGGGTGTAATTGCCTGGAAATAGATATTTCATATTCAACAGCAACTTGGAGTTGTAGTTTAAGAGTAGGTTTTAAGTATTTTTATTGAGAGCAGGCTACTGCTGTGCATTTTAAAGTTAATGTGTTTTCTCAGCATGGAAGTGATATAATTGATTTGTACATTTGAGTGGATCCTGCAAAAAGCCAAAATTGCCTGGCCAAGCCATTTACCCTGTGAAAGGCTCATGATGCTGTTCAACTATTCAAATTAAACCAAGCAGTAGGAACATTCCTCCAGTAGGAAATTACTGTGACACTGGAAGGGCCTTTTGTCTCAGAGTGTGAGGTGGGTATGTGAGAGAGTACATTGCCTTCCACTCATTTTTTTCTTTTAACATGGGAATAAACTGACCCTTGATAACACTTGAGGTGTGGTTCTAGGAACCATGAAATTCAGAGCTTTATCACTGAATAATGAGCTTGATTAATTCACTACAATGGCAGGCAGGCACATCAGTAATTTAGAAAAATCACTTTAAAATCCATTTGGAACAATTTAGAGATTAAGAACAAACAAGTAATCTGAGGATCCTTTAAGGTCTTTCAGCAAAGACAGGCCTAGAAATACCTGCCAGATCATCAAATGCAATTACAGGCATCACATTATAGAAATTCCCTTGCATAAAGTGTGTTTCACAGTTATGTGTTTAACCCATCTTCTCTTTCAGACTAGTAACTCTGTATGCTCAATATTTTTGCTAGAAAGTTTGTTGTGAAAATATGACCTGAGCAGAGAACTAATATTTTGTTCTTCGCCTTTTTTTTATAGTCAGTAGATTTCAGAATATTTTATGCCAATATAAGGGAAGTTTTTTCCAAAGTGATCATCATCAGTAATGAACCAAGTTGCTTTGAGAGACTCTGAAATCTCCAGTTTTGGGGATGCTCAAAGCTGAGGTGGACACAAGGCCCTGGGCAATTTATCTGACCTTGAAATTAAAACCAACTTCAAATTTGGTGCTGCACTGGGCTGTGAGTTGTACCAGGTCATGAGATGATCCCATATGTCCCTTCCAAGCTGAATTATTATAAGAATTTTAATATTAATAAATGCAGGAGATTACAGTGTGAATCCTTCTCAGAAGGCAGCATTGTTTTCTTCCCAAATGCTGTTATTTAACAGATGGACTTGAACTGAGATACAATGAGATGCACAAGTGCATGAAAAACCTATAATCAAGATCTGTATTAGAAACAGGTACATACACATTTCTGGCAAGATGCTTCTTGTGGGCTTCATTATTGCTTTAGTTTATTATTTTAACTAAAATTATTGGTAGGGAATTGGTGAGAAATCTGGGAAATTCAAATTAAATGAAAGCAGACTTTCTGAATTTTTGCTAGTGAAGGTTAGTATCACAATGATTACATTATTGAGTGAAAACATGATGACTGTTTGGGAAAGGACAGCAGCAGCAGGCAAACTGAGGCTGTGCTGCACAGTCACAGAAATGTTGCTGGTGCCAGTTGTTCCTGCTCATTTCCTGTTGCATCCAGCAGCTGCAGGTCGGATCTGAAAGGTTAAAAGCTGGGAAAGGGTCAACCAGGCAAGGTTGAGATGTAATAAAAAGAGAAGATGAAATGCAGCTTTAGGATATCTAAGCATTCCAAGAGGATCCTCTGGCTTTACCTGAACTGTCACAGCACAGTATTTTTCAGGCCAACATGCTGAGCCAAGGGGCACTCACTAAATATCAGCCTTATGCATGGTGGGATTCTCTTTTTGTCAGAGGGGAATATATGTTCAATCACATTTAATTAATATTAAATTATTATTAAAGGATGTTTAGTGTTAATAAGTAGTCTTCTTCACTAGATCTGATGCTTGTTACCAGCCTAATTCAATATTTAGGAACAGAAGAAGAACCTTTGTGTTGATTCTATAGAGGCCTTTCCTCTCCCAGGTCCAATGATGGATGTTTCCAATCAACATTTACTGCTGAATACAATGTCCTTTACTGTCACATGCCTTTCCCTTTCCCTTCCCCCTTCAATACTGTGTCAACATTTGGGATGAGCCCAAATCCTAATGTGTGATCTGACCTTCTGACACCGTAGCCCCGTGAGCTACCAACCTGGCCGTGCTT